TCTTCCCCCTTCATTTACACCCCTAAACTGATCTGGATCTTACTGCAGTGACTTTAAAAGAAAAACAGAAGAAACAAAAAACGAACGCCAAAATACTTGCCTCTTTGCCTTTCTCACTAGCTCCCCTCCACCCAAGAGACTGTGTTAACTTGCTTTTTTGGGAAGAGGTCATTTAAATTACAGTTGGGGTGTGGTCAGTGATGTCTGTGCAGCTGGATTTGCTTCAGGTATCAGACGCCCTTTTAATACTAAGAACTACAGCTGTTCAGAATTGTGAGTTTCCATCGCTTTTGTGGCTGAACTTTTAAATGTAAATTAATCACGTAGTCCATTTTCCCCTAAAGCGTGGGGACCGATGGAGTTACTGTCCCGTCTCTCTTAATTCAGAATTACTAGTGATCTTCCAGAAGACACTAAATCGTCTAAAAATTTTTGCTGTGGTTGCTACTCATCTATTGAAAATGATCTTTCCTGTTCACAGGTTTAGAAAGATGCCACCTGAACTTGGTAGAACTGTAGGAGAACATGACCGAAAAAGCCCCTACAATTTCAGAATGTATCCAGTGCCTGGAGGGTAAGGGCTGGTGTTTCCACTAGGTAGGAAAGGGACACACATAGTGGAAAGGAAATTCATTGTGAGCCTTAATTTTAGTTACAGGAGCCAAAATCTTTAATTCAGTGCCAACCCTTATCTTTGTAAGCCTGGGAGGAGTTGGTGTAAGCACCAAATCTCTCGATGGGGAAAACCTGTAGTGGTGTGAGGAATGTAATCTCTCATCGGAGAGAAATAAAGCACCTCCATTAAAAAAAGTTTAAAAAAAAAAAAAAAAAGCTTCTTCCTCTGATAATGAGAAGGATACAGACTGAAAATGAGCTGTGTAAGACAGCAACAGTTTAAGAAACCTAAAGCTTTACATAAACAGAAATGTTTAGGGGATGCTCCCCCCCCTTAAGTGAGGAAAAAGGCAATTGCGTTGAATATGGTTGAGTTGCACAAGTACGGAGTGTGTGTGTGTCTTAATGTCTCAGTATTGCCTTCGTTAGTCTCTTTATTAGTCCATGCAGTTTGGTGGCCTGGTAAATGCAAGTCTTATTTTTAACAGCTTTCTTTTTTTTTTTAAATACAAAACCATAAAGCTTTAACGCTTGCTATTTAATAAGTAACTGTGTTTTCTTCTGTCTCTAATTTAGTGGCCATAATTTGCAGTTAATTGAACCATTCCAACCTAATGCTTACCCATATTTCCTAGTTTTGTTTTATTTATTTATTTGAACTTCTTGTTTTCATGATTGAGGACTTTCACTTCTGTGTCATTCACCTGTTTGGAAACTTCTGACCTTACAGCCAAAACTTAACTCATTCTACTCAGTATTCATCGTGATGCTGAAGTGTAAGATACCTGCAAATGTAAACACTACCACTTTTATTAATAAAAGCAAATACAGTGTTTTAGGGCACATTTGCATCACTGTAGTTGAGGTTGTGTCAGTATTTCCATTATAAACCCATAGAGGGTCTATATCTTGGCACTGAACTGCCCTAAGCTAAATCTTTGCCATACGAGGCTGCTTCTGCTCAAGCATGATTTGGCGGGTTGGTTTTCAAACAGTTCCCAACACAAACTCTTGTTTCTGTTTTAAGTTATACAACTGTTTTGTTGGATGGGGGTTGGTTTAAAAAAAAAAAAAAAAAAACAACAAAACCAACAAACAAACCTGGTTCAAGATTGGTTTTGGCACTTCTGTAACTCAGAAATGGTTTTGATTTTAAAACATAACCTTTGGCAAGCCAGTAACCTACAATATGGTCTGATCACTTTGGGTATTTTGTAAAAATAATAATAAATTGTAGAGATGTTGTGGTTTCAAAATCAGCTACTGTGCATTTGCAGCAACTTATTTCAACCCAAGAACTTTTAGTAATTTGTACATCAGTACGCACGTTCAGCAGCCAGTGTGATGCAGCAGAACAGTGATAACTCCTGAAGGGGTTTTTCAATAGTGTGTGGAGGTCAGTCCACTACAGACTAAAAAAAGATTCAGCTGCTTCTGAAAGCATCAAAACCTGCTCTCTGAGAGGCTGAAACTGGAGCTAAGTTGTTGGGAGCAGCCTTTGATGCAAAAGCGTATGAAGGTGTGCTGGATCGGTTGTCACAGACAGGAGCCCTGAGGGCTTATCTTCGTTTATCTAAAAACTATTTTGAATCATGGCATCAAGGATAGGATTGAACTTGGAGTATGTTGTTAACTCCAGAGGAACTGAAGCCAGTTCTGTTCCAGGATGTTGCACATAATTGATACCTGCAGGATAATTTTCTTTTACCAGTAAATCTATGCACAGAAATACTAACATTCATCCCTTTAGAATCTGAGCACCTTGTAATTAGTCATGGCGCAGTATTCCTGTAAATGATGTAGGATGTTTTGTATTCTATCCTATCTTCCAGTGTCGAAAATTACGTACCAGGAAAAACAAAAGATAAAAGTGTGATCACACAGGAAACGGAGTGCAGATACGGAGATGGAGCCCGGGCCAGCTGAGTACCAGTCCAGTGCCTTAGTGATAATACTGTTGGTGATTGGTGCTATACAAATGTCTAAAGTTGTTATAGGTTAAAAAATTCTGTAACTTACTCTGGAAGAGAACAAGTTCTCTCCTGTCCCCAACTGTACCTAACGTGCTATGAGTATTCCCAACAACGCTGGCACTCGTAAGCCCTCTTCTGTGGAAGTAGATGATAAAATTCCTACTAAGTGTAAGAAGCAGGATCAGGGCCATGGATTACCATCAGTGGAAATCTCACACAGGAACAGGTCTTCATCCCAAAAACACACGTTGAGTTTGTAGAACAGTAAAAATACCTACAAGCAAACATCTGTTTGCAGTCCAAAACCAAAACTGTACCCTTCTTCCTCAGCTTGCTGTTGCTGAAAATCCATCCGTGGCAAAGTGTCTTGCTGTTCTATGACAAAGTTTGAAGTGTCTTTGTAAATAAAATAAGCTACAAAGGGGATTTCTGAACCTCTGCTGATAAAAGCCGTTACACTGAAAAATCTCTCTGGTGACTGACAAGATAGAAATTCCAAGAGTGAACCCATTTTAATCCTGGTCATAACCAGTTAGCTTAAATACTGTGAGTGGATGCGTTTCAGTTACTGGGTAGGTAAACTGCTTTAGAGTATTTTACTGTGTTGCAGAGATTGCTAAAATTTCAGCCGTGAGTACTGGCTTTATAATTAATTGTTTTCAAACCTGATTCTCATCTTATTAAAAGTTAAAACTGCTTTTTACCCTGTCTACTTTTAATGTACTGAGCTGAGCAAAATGGGTGCAGTTTAAAGCACAAGTCTACTTGGAAGAGCAGCTTGGGAGGAGTTGGGGAGGCAAACCAATCTCTCACTGCATTAAACATAAAAATAATAAGGGCGGGGGGGGTC